TTATCATTTCCTTGTTCCTGGCTTTCTTCAGAATATTCAGAATCATCAAGAAAATGAATTCCTAGTTCTAGCATTTTCTACTAGAACATTTGAGGGTAATCACAGGTTAGAACGCTTAGTCATGAATGGAGCCCATGTGCCCATATGTTACTATACACATAAATAAGATTGCCTCAAATAGAGGAAAACATACTGTCTCACTCTCTAAAGCAGCAATATGAGCTTATATTGCTGGGAAACTTTAAACGAATGATTTTCCAATGGTATTTGCAAGTAGGGGCTCAGTGCAATACCTGTGCTTACAGTCCCTGAACACTTCCCCCCATGGCTTTATAACGAGTTAACTGTGAGTTCCATGGGAAGGGGATCCATGGCCGTCATAGGCCTGCTACATCCCATAGATGGCAGTAAACACACTTTTTAGCACTTTTCCTCATCTTCATTGGAATCAGGCTCCTTCAGGGAAAGAAAATGAATGCAGAAACTGTGGAGTAATAATTAGCAAACAGATTCTAGTCATTTGAAAAACTGGCAAGAAGCCTTATTAAAGGAGGTAGTAATAGTCATATTTTGCACTTCTAATAGGGCCTTTTATCTCTAGGCCTCCAAGAGCCTGTCTGAGTCATGTAAAGGAAAAAAAAACCCCCCAAAAAAAACCTGAGCTAGGTCAGAAGTCAGGAAACAAGGGCTCTGCTTGACATTCTGTTAAGGCTCTCTCATTTCAAAGTGAAGGTAGAGTGTCTCTGATGCATTTAAATACCAGGAATTCATGCCAGTTAGAAGAGAAAAGGCAGCATAGCACCGTGAGATAAACTCCACATTCCTGGTTAATACTGAAAACGTGCTTCTCTCAAAGTTGTTTTTTGTGAAAATAACAATAGAGCTTTCAATACTTTGCCTTCTAAACACATGGACAGCATTATTATTCACAGTGCACTAGACAAATTGAGAAAGAGTTTTTATATCCTCTTTCGTGTATCAAGGCATAATTATCAGCACATCCTTGTATTTATTCCTAAGAGGCTGGAATAAATTCTGCTGCTGATGGATATCAGTCCTCTGAACTTGGTATCATTCATGCTTTATCTCTGGCAGTGGTGGTAGCAGAAGAAAACGACTCCTAACATGTATACAGAGCAAACGCCTTACATCTACAAGATACGGCTGTCTTCCCTGTCCCACATTAAATCCGCATCTTCAGTTTCCCACATAATCTCCAGATCTATTGAAATCTTGGAACATTAAAATTCTCCTTCATTGTTGTCAAGGTTTAGTAACTTGACAACCAGAAGACAGACACCCTGAGTATTTGAGGGAATGTAGGTTTGGAAATAAAGACGAACAGCTTTCCTGGTGCATTAAAATTTGTTTGGGGCTTAGCAGGAAGAATGTGTTTTATAATAACCATTCTTTGGCTGTGTGACTGACTTTGGGCAAACGAATTAACCTCTCTGAGCATCAGTTTCTTCATGTAATAAATATTCCTATCTCACAAAAGTTGGTTTGAGGATTAAGTGAAATCATGAATGTTAAAGTATGTAGCATAGCACCTATCACTCAGTAGGTATTTGACAACTATTAGTCGTTAAAAAATATACAAAGGCACATGCAACATACATACGTGAGAGAGGGAGAGAGAGACAGAGATCCATATTTCCAGTGGGCTTCCCTGATCTTCAGAGATGTAGGCAAGTTGGTCCAAATCCTTAAATTCTGAACCCATCAGTCCTCCTTACAATTCCTACAAGTTCATGATCCTACTTCCGCTTGATTTCTTCCACTACTTCTAAATCCAAGGGTTCAAGGTCAACTTAACGTGCAGCTTTGCTAATACATACTAAAAAACAGCTCCTTAGCTGTTTTTTACACATTAAAAAATCCCATCCTCTCTCACAAACACTGAGAGTCTGGTAAGTTGATTAGAGATTCACATTTGAGAAGAGATCGAATCTTGCACCTCTCAGCTTTATGTCATTCTGCAGGCTCTCCCTCCTGCCCCACTATCTTCCAAAAATGCAGGCTTGCAACATGGAGCTCACAAACCTGTGAAGCCCGGGCTCCGGGAAGTATAGCCCGGTCTTTCAGCCACCCTCTCCAACCACTTTTCGGGTAGAAAACAGCTCGACCCAACCAAAAGATTGTTCCAGCCTCCATGGAATTATGGAAAATACAATTTCTTCCCTCTTATCACCTCATGATTATTAACTCACTGTAACACTCGGTACTCAGCGTTCTCGAAGGTAATGCCATTTCCTTTATTCTATGGAAAAGTCTATTCTTATACATTATATATATAAGAGCATACATATAAAGTAAACAAAGTAACATTAACTGTTTCATACCCTAAGACACATTTCTACATAACAAGCTATTCTTTTAAGGATTACTTAATTTTTTTAAGAATCTTAATATTTGTATATAAAGTTTTTCTGTTCATTGCATTCATCTTTTCTTTTTTCACCCAGAACACAAATTCTTCTTTTCCTGGTGGTCCAGAATCATCAACATGTATAACTGTGATGATTCTCTGCCCTCTGGGGGTATTGATTGGGCTGTACAGAGCTATTTGCCCTGCACTAAATAACCCAATGCTCTTGTGCCTTTAAAGTTACTATATCTGTTTCTTGGGGTTCTGCCCCCTACTCTTTTGTCTCCTTGACTCTTTCTGCTGTCATCAATGTATACTATCTCCAGCAGTAATCCTTTCCCTTGTAGTTTCCCTTTGCAGCTTCCAGTCTACTGATTGATGAAAACAAGGCAAACATTAAAATGGTTTTAAAGTCAAAACCACTGGCACGGAATCCCTCGTAAGAACTCTTCTGTGAACAGAGCATGTGAACTGTGATACCTAGACCTTCTTCTAGATCCATCAAGCTGCTCAGCTGTCTTCTTCCTGAGCTGTCCTAATTCTTGGCTAGGTTTTAGATTATTTAAATCCTAGGGAAAATGATCTGAGAGGAGTGACACATTGCTATATTATTTTCCCATTGGTCTTATTTTAAAGTTCCAGATCAATGACATCTGAGGGCTGCGGTCCAGTTTGTTGTCACGGACACCATGGACCACAGAGCACCTGCTCTTACTGGTCAGGGCCCTTGCCAAGCTGATCGTAAATAAATTCCAAATGTCACCCTGCGACAATCCACTCTAAGATGTAAGTAAGGTAACATATAATGAAAATCTTAAAATATTTCCTACGAAGGCAAAAATAACCACTTCACAAATGGGAATCAGTAAGACCACACAATTTTAGGTGATCACATGATATTCTCATCACCATGCAGTCATAGATGAATCTAAAAAAAAGTTTTTCTTTCTCCATCCCCTCCCTCCTACCTATCCTTCTTTCTTCTCTCCTTTTTTCCCCTTTCTTGATATACAAATTAGTGATTCTCTTTTTTACTGATGGCAGGAAAAAAAGGTACCAAAATGCTTTGTATTGACACTGAGATAATCAAACTATGAATAAATGCCAGTAGCAAGGATTTTTTTCCTTTCTAACTTTGAGAGTAACTATGCTAATTAAAAAAACTTAATATCTTACAGGATTTTCACAGTATGAGCATGTTTCTCCTGAGCTTCACATTATTAACACTTGAAAATTAAGCCCTCCCTATAGCTCAAGGAAACATTTATGATTCTTCTCCTGCAGTGCGTGGGATTCCAGGGACAAGGATGACTGCAAAGGGATGTGTACATGACTGTCATCCAGGTAGTCTCTGGCTGGAGACGGCGGTGTTGGGACAGTGGCCAGATGAGGCACACTGAGTCCAGGCTGAGTGTATCATTCCTAAAAAGATCCTTCCTTGCAAGTCATAAATGCATACTCTGTACGCTTTTCTTTTTAGGCATGGTGCCATAGCAACATAGGTAAGAGCTGACCACCTGAGTTAAAATTCTGACCTTGGGCAACTTAATTTCTCTGTGCCTCAGTTTGTTTATCTCCAATAACAATAGTGTTGACCTCAACACTATTGGGTTGTTTTGAAGTTAATGGAATTGATATATGTAAAGTCCTTAGATCAAAGCCTGAAACACAGTGTCACTATGTGTTTATTATCATCTTCAGAATCCACCAAGCCCTCTAGAATGAGACAGTGTAGCTGGCTTGTGGATTTTGAAGAGCTTGGGTTCTGGGTTCTGAAGTCAACCCCATGTGGATCCCACCATTTGCCCTCTCACATCCTGGCCCAGTGACCTTGGACATGTTACTTAAACGCTCTAACCTTCTGTTTTTTAATCTGTAGAAAGGGGCTAATTGTATCTTCCTCATAGGGCTGCTATGAGGATGAAATGCATGTGAAGAGCCCACAAGATGCCTGGCACAGAGAAAATGCTCCGTAAATGTTCGCCTTGGAGATATGGAGAAGAGGGTGGATGGTAATGACCTGATGACTGTCTACTGAGAATTTTTAAAGGCAATTTCCATATCTTCCTTTGGGAAGTGAGGAAAGCAGCCAGAACAGTGCTGGGGCAGGGAGGGATACAGTTACACAGTTCTTTGTGCATGCTTAGTTGGGGGACAGAGAGGAAAGAGACTGAAAGCAAAATAAGACTTAAGGGTTTCTGCCAAATCTTGCAGGTACTTGAGTTCAGGCACCTCCAGAAGGGAACACTGGGCTTTCTCTTACAGCCCCTGAGCAGCAGTGAAGCCCTAAATCCAGGGAGAATAAATAGCCCTGGAATAGGGTAGGACAGGACACAGCAGACAAGACCCTAGAATAAACTAGGGTTCTATATTCCGGGTTTTCCTTCAGTTCTCAAATCCATTTCCCTGAAAGAGGACTGGGGAGGATGACTGGGATGGTTTAGCTTCCATTCTGCTACGTCATTCACCTGGAACATCTTCCTCCTTTTCCCTCTTGGAAGACGCCTATTTTTCTTTCCTGTTCAAATGTCACTACAGAAGGCCGGTCCTCTTTTTAGCTGTACATGTGTGTTATGGAGGTACGACAAGTTTGTTAGGGAGGGACCATGAAATTTTGGAAATAGCTACTTACCTTGGAGAGCTGTGATTTCTATTTTCCACCATAAGCCTTGTGCATTTTGTGTATGTTGTGATTTTAGTCCTCCTAAGTGCCTGGATGGAACGGAAAGACATTGCATAGACAATCATAAGTTTTATAAGACTGTGAAGGTCTGTGTCAAGCAATGAAACTTTTCTTTTGCCCGGTATTGACTGTGCTACCCCAAGTAGAGGCCCCGCCTTGCTTATTATCCTTGTCTCTAGCCAGCACTTGTGCCTGACACAGTGCCTGGTGCAGAGCTGTCCAACTGTGCAGCAAGAACCAAGCTCCCCCTACACGCTGAGCCCAATCTATCTCCGTTAGCTGTCACCCGCCTTCCAAGGGTAGCCCTCTTAAATCATGTAAAGCAAGTCTACAACTTTTCCTGGATTTTCATATCTGCAGACAACTGTCAGACTTATCACTCACCCTCATTTCCTCCCAAATATCTCCCTGCCCTTGGTCCATACTGTTTCTCATATACCACTGTCTTAATTCCTCTTACTTCTGGTGGCTCTGCCCCAGACTCATTCAAGTTCATCAACACACCTTTTAAAATGCTGCCCACGGAATCGAACTCATCTCGCCTCCTCTGGCCTGCTGCTCTCCGCCTATTGTCTCCTTGTTAATTGAACTACCCATCATTTCCGCTGCTCACTTCGGGCTCCTTCACGGTGCCCCCTCCTCCACCTCCCCCACCCAGCCTCCCACCCCCGTCAGGCACTAAGTCCTATTGACTGTTCTGACTAACTATTGAGCAGCTATAGTAGGTATTCAGACAGTATATGGTGAAGGAATATAAATGAATAAAATTCATCATTTTAGATTCATTCCTTCTGCTTCTGCCTTGAGCGAGGATTTTATTTTGCTTTGCTTTTATTTTTAAAAATTTCAAATGTATAGAAAAGTTAAAAGAAATTGTGATGAATACCAATATACACTTCCCCTAGATTCATCAATTGTTAACTTTTTGCCTCAATTGCTTCCTCTCCCCCGACTCTTTCTCCCATTCTCTCCCCCCACAGAACACACTCATGCTTTTGAAAATTTGTTGTCAAACCATCTGAAAGTAAGTTGCAGGCACTGTGACATATAACTGTTAAATACTGCAGCACCCATCTCCTAAGAACTATGAAATACTCTGTAGAGAACAAATTATTTCCCACAAATACCTTCAGAGTGAGGGCTTATAAGCTGGGGTTTATGGGTGGGTTTTAGGGGATCCATGAAATCATATGCACAATTGTGAACATATAAGCAGCTTTCTGGGAGGAAGTTCACAGCTTTCATCACAGCCTCCAAACTGATGTGGGCTCCCCTCTGGTCTCTCCCTCTTAATATTATAAGTAGGGTAGCAATATGGTCAGTTGTGGGTTTTCAGCTACCTCAAACTAGTAAAAATTCAGAGGCTACCTAAAACGTATTCAGCTGCTTCCTACTGGCTGCATGAGAGAGTTAATACTTCTTAGAATGACACAGAGAACCTTTGCAATCATGCTTCTGAGGACATTGCCAGTCTCTTCTTTTACAGTTCCCTCCTCCCCAGAGGCAACTGGCTACTTGCCCCCAGCCAGGCCATGTTCTGAGCTTCACCTCATCCCACGCCCACTTCCTACTTATTTGCCCTCTTAGCAAACATCTCTTTCCCTTTCAAGACCCCACTCAGTTGCCACCACCTCTGGGAAGGCCTCCCCAACCGTAACCCCAGTTGCTTCTGACTATAATTTGTACCTTCCTCTATTATATGATTTATCATATTTACTATGCTTATGTGTTTACATAGCTTCATCCTCACTGACACTGTGAAGCACTCGACACATAGATAAATGGACACATGTTGAAAGGATCACACAGCCCTTGCTAATCGCCTGGACACCTGACCCATCCCTCCACCCTGTCACTGAGCCCCATTTGCACCCTGACTCCAGTGGGCTTTCCCGGTCTCAGACCCCAGTTCTGCCTTCACCAGAGGCTTTTGTGTCTCTCCCTGTGTGATGCTCTCAGCTCCTCTAATTTTGGCAGATGACTTCGTATCCACATCCCTAGAGTCCCTTGGCTGTTCAAATCCAATCACTTGAAAAGACAAGCCTATATCCATACATGGTAAGGATTCCACAAGATTTAGAGGGCCACAGACACCAGGAAATGGCTGTCTGTCCAGGCACTGGGACATCAGGAAAAGCTTGAAATGGAATCAGTTCCAGGCCCTTGCTGAAAAAGCACCAAGCTGCACTGCAGTGGGGCTGCTCCTCAGAATTGAATGTGATGCTATGGCAGGCTGAGCTCTAAAAGCTGGCTTCGGGAGAGGTGGCAAGTTCTCTGGCAACACCCCTGCACTGGGGGGGGGGGAGGAAAGGGCACAAGCTTGAGGCTGTTTTCTTTGATTTTCTCTGGGGGACTCTATTGTGCATTTCCAACACTGGTACTAACACTGCTAATCTAGACATCAGACCCGAACTGGCAAGAAGGCCAGCAACTGGCCTTTTGGCTGGAGTCCAGGTCTGCAGCACAGGTAAGAGACCTGCACCGTATTACTCCAAAGCAGAGTATGGACAAGTGGAGCAGAGCAGTAGGCTGGAGTAAGAGGGCTGACCATTCTGCTCTGGGTCTATTTGCTTGCAGGAGGGGTGGCCAGAGAGGATCCACAGGAGGGGTTAAGGACTCAGAGGAGAGGGGCTGGGACATCCTGCCGAGCTTCCAGCCTCCTCAGGGAGGGGCCCTCCAGCAGCCATGGGAAGCTCAGAGGCTGCTAAGCTGCCTGCTACTGTCAAGGCTGACCTCAGCTGGCAGTGCCCCCCTCCTCCTGCGTCCCTGGTGGGTTGGCCCCTGTGGGATGTTAGCCCACCTGCCTTCAGAAATGTGGCTGCCCAGCCCATTTCCCCCCATGGCTGTCTTCCTCTCCCCCAGCAGGAGCGCCCGGGCCCCGGTGAGTGATGTTTCTGAACAGACTCAATCCCCTGTGCTCCAATCGGAACGCATTACCAGTCAGGGCGCGTCAGCTCGACGATTTGGCTTCAACAATAAATCTTGCTTTCATGAGTTTAAATCAGACTTTAAAACATCGCCCTTAATGTTCTTTTAATGCAGTTTTCTTCTGAATGAGTTCCCTTTAGGTCCAGTCCTTGTCATTAATACACTCCCTTGGCAAACGAAGGAGGGCTTCTTCGAGGAAAACTCTGCCAGTTTAGGAAACCAGCTGAATTGCCTTGGTGATGCCAGGAGGCTTTTTTGCATTTTACAAGGACACTTGAGAAAACAAAACTCTCTGACTGTAAATTTAATTTTCTCTTGACAGCCTTGGTGTCTCTGCAGCCCCAGAAGTTATCCATTACTTCTTTCTTCTGTAATTAAAAATCAAGGGGTGGGGGGCGGGGAAATGTACAGGATTAACAAGTTCTAATTTTCATTGATGAGCTCTAAGAGCTTATCAATAATGGGATCAGAAAAGCCGCTTCGCCTAAGCTCTATTTTTCTAGGGTGTCTGATTTTGATGGAGAATCTTGTTCAGGGTGGAAAATGCTAGCCTTCCAAGGAGTCCCATTGCCAAAGTCAGGAAGAAGGGGTGGGGCAGGCCACGCCAGCCTCGAGCAGGAGGGCAGCCGGGGCTTGCTACTTTTACAGACTCAGCACTCAGGCTCCGGGGAGCTGATTACAGGGAAAGATTAAACAGCCTGTCTCTCACACACATTCCTTTTCTATGGACGGCTTCTGCAGAAAAGGAGCTTGCACATATCTGCTTAGGAAGAAGAAACATAATTCCAATTAAAAGAATACTGGTGGTAATTCCTTTTGAGTTATACATTTGTAGATATAAATACTTCATCAGGGGATAGGGGCATCCATCCTGTTTATCACCCACAGGGATGCAGCTGAGCATGGGTTTCTTCAAGAGACACTGGGCTGATCGATAGCATCTGGGTTGCATCATTTCAAAAGCTGTGACATGCGGGCTCCCAGTGAATGTGACAGGCATGTGACAGGAATGAGCTGTTTAATTGACACGCACAGCTTCCACAAAATTCCAAACAATCAGGTGCAAAAATGACTCAGGAGAGGATTTTTTTTTAAAGATAGGTCAAGTAAAGCATAGATACTGTGAAGCAGAAGCCCTAGCACCTGGCCTTGAGGTTCTTCTGTAGAAAAACAGAGGCCTCTGCTATGTCCAACAGGGGTTGTACTTATGAGTGTCAAGCAGCAATTGGATGGTTTGGTTCCAGAGCTTTCTTGCTTAGAGCTGGAAAGTTCAGGCTATCTCTGGAGACCAAAAAATGCACAGGACAGCAGAAAAGGCCAGCAGCTGACGATTCTGTCAAAATGATACCAACTTGGCTCCTGACACAAGGAACTTCTTAAACCAAGACCAGAGAATCACAGAGTACTGAGCTGTCCATTTCCAAGAGGTCCCCTTTTCAAGGTCTCCTGCCAGCCTCTGGCCAAGCATCCCTCCCTCCCACAGGGAGAACAGGCGGCACTGCAGCAAAGTCTAGGTGCTGAGGGTAGTCACACTTATAGAATATTGGAGGCATTAAACTCGACTAGAGGTGATATTATATGGATAGGGTAAGAGCATGGATTCTAGCCATATGGTTGAGTTTGAATAGAGGGGTCCACTCTCATTTTAGCTGTGTGATCTTGGGCAAGTTACTTAACCACTCTGAGCCTCCATTTTCTTTTCCATAAGATAGAGATGATTTCATTGGCATCTCATAGGGTTATTAAAAGGATTAAATGAGTGAATACATGTAAGTCATGTAGAACAGTGTTCAGCATGTAGGAGACACACAATAAATGTTAACAACTTAAATATTATGCCGTTAAAGCTACGAACTTGCCAAAGACAGAATGTGGGCTTCTCAGAGCCCTCTCCAACTCTACGATTTTAAGCATCCAGATGGCCTTCCTCACTGTTTTGAAAATGTGGGAGAAGTTATAGGGAATACAAGGTGATCTTTGGGGGTACGTGGATGGACACTTCTAATTTTAATAACTATGCATTTACTATGTATCAGAAAAAAAATCAAGTCCATTATTCCTGGAATATTATCAATCATATTGAAGATAAGCCTTTTAAAAA